ATTCTCATTTTTAATTTTTTACATTATATCTATATTATATATATTTTAAATTTATATTCATTTTTATTTTTGTGGGGGAGTTAATGGGTTGAACGGCCCATATTTACAACTTAAAAAACTAAAAAATTTTTGTTATTATGTTCGATAAAAATTTAAAATTATATTATTTTCGTTTTTATTTTAAAATTTTAAATAAATATTTTTATTCTTATTCAGATAAAAAGATTAGATTTTTCATCGAATTTGAATAAAAACAAAGTCATCAGAAACGAAAATTCTTTTATTGAAGAAATTTGGCAGTTTAGAAGGAGCAACTTTTTTGCGTTTTGGTCAAAGCTAGTTTGAAAGGACAACCAACACAAAAGTCCAATTGGTGCAAAAGATTATTCCGATGGGCATTGCCAACATGGGAAGGAATTATTCGCGTGTACTACACGTGCTTTTAATTGCTGAGCCAGAATATTATGTAGAGGACGTGTAATTTTCAGGGTGAGGTGGCATGCACGTAGGGCATGCTTTGTCTACGTGTGCAATTTGGACAAAAAATTGACTGATTTTCAAAACAAGTAAGAAGGCCGAAAAAGAATCCGAAAGCCTGATAAAAGAATTTGGCGTTTTGGGTTCCTCCTTCACTCCTTCGTTCTTTAATCCTTCAGTCGATTCATACCCAATTCTTCAATCCTTCAGTCGATTCCTATCCAATTCCAATTCTGATTTCAAAAAATCCCAAATCCGATGATCGAAAGGAATTAATTGACGAAGGACGATCTCTTCTTGTTGGGTAATTTCAATTCGGATTAGTCAATCGTGGGTAAAAGTTAAATGTATTGGGCGTTTTAGACTTCTTGTTCAGGTGAGTACTGTAAATATTTTGTTATTTGGATAAAAAATTTAATTCCTTCCTTTTCTTACATCAATAGAAATTTATGATTTGGGTAAAAAAATTTGAGCATTTAGCCTTTCATGAGAGAATGCTTGATCTTATCTATGGAAATTTAATTATGACACCAATTAGTGTGTTGATCACGTTTGTTTCATTACCTTAATTAATAGTAATAAGGATTTTCACTCACTTAGTTTAAAACCTTCTTTCAAGTGATTGGAGCAACAGTCGTGAATGAGAATTGAAGTTCATCTTGCTTGAGGCAAGGAATCTATAAACCTTTTCTCTTGTTTCTGTTAAGATGACTGATTCAAGCGAGCCCCAGTAGCCAGGAAAAGAACCTCAGCAATCTGAAACAGAACCTCAACAATCTGAGCAAGGTAAAATTTGTTCCTTTTTTTTTAATTCTTTTTAAAGGTGTATATGTATATTTACTTATATAGCTAACTCTTTGACTTTTCAGTCTGCAATTTCTTTAGGAAGCCAACAAAGGGCAAAAAACCATAAGGAAAAGGACAATAAATGAATATGAAGATGAAGATGAAGACTCCAGAAATGGCACATCTTTGTTTCACAATCAGAAAAACGCTTTGAAGCCTGACTATAAGTTAGTCTTTTCAACTGGATCCTCCAGGAGTGCTACTCCCACTGAATCAAATACAGAATCTGACAAACCGATTTTTCAATTTGAGTCTTCGAAGGAAATTCAAGTTCAAAATGATAGCAGAGCTATGGCAACCTTAGAAACTGAGACTGAGTTTACAAAAGATGCTCGCGCGATACGCGAGGAAGTTTTTAAACGAACAGAGGAGGCTTTGAAGGGGAAAAACACAAGCACTGGGGGAGAGAAGTTGTATAAAGGAATGCATGGCTATGTGGATCATAAGGCTGGGTTTCGAAGAGAGCAAACAGTTGCCAGTGAGAAAGCAGGTGGCTTACATGGACCTCTTAGGGCTTTTGCCCACATCAGGGTTTCAGCAAGATTTGATTATCAGCCTGACATCGGTAAAGACTACAAAGAAACTGGTTACTGTGGTTACGGAGATTCATGTAAGTTTATGCATGATCGTGGAGATTACAAGTCTGGATGGCAGTTAGAGAAGGACCGGGAAGAAGCAGAGAAAGCAAGGAAGAGAAATCTGGCTTTGGGTGGCGATGATGATGATGATGAGGCAGGGGTAGACCAGAGTGATGATGACGATGATGATTCGTTGCCCTCTGCATGTTTTAGTTGCTGGCAACCTTTTGTGGAAGTGCAAGTACTACTTCTGCCAGCATTGTGCTTTAAAGGTGCCCTCAATGCCTTTTCACGTGGATTAATTTTTTTTAGTGTCTTTTTTGTGCTAGGTTAACATCTATTAGTTTTTGTTATGTTTGTTGTTAATGCATCACTTAGATGCAAAACTTTTTTGGTTACTTACATACAAAGAATATTTTATGTGGTCCAACTTTTTTCAGCTATAGAAATAGGACATATTTTAACTTTACATCATCAACTTTTGGTGCCTCATGTCAGTATAATTTACATTTTTATTCTCATTCGAATGTAAACTAACCAACTGCATCTTTTGGTTTTTCAGCATCACACAAAGAACAACAAGTGCTTTATGTGCAACCAACCCACCCTTGGCATTTTCAATACTGCTCATGAGATACGTAGAAAGATGGCTGAAGAGGGTAACGATAAGTCCATTGATGCTTTTTTTCAACTCCTGCGGCCATTAATATTTTTATTTCTTTGTTTTGCCATTGTAGTGGAAAGATTTACTTGTCTGCATACCTTATTGAACAAAATGTATTTCCGAGCTAGATCTTGGGGGAATTTTGGATTATGCAGTGATGAGCTCTTTAAAATCATTGTTGCTGCTGGAATGGTGTTTTTTTACCAAGTATTTAGGTAAGTATTGTTTCTGTGTCATGCTGCCACTGCTGCCTTTTGCCCATGATGTAACATTTCTACCTCGAGATAGCAGTGCAATGCAGTATCAACTTTCCAAGAATCAGCATCCAACTTCACAACCTTCACAATGGCCGAGAATTCATCTTGATCATATCAAAATCCATGTCTAGATGACACATTCTGGTAGGGTCATGATCTAGGAAGGATGTTACTTCACAGAGTTTAAGGCTGTAGGATTGCTGATAGTTTCAGTTGGGTAGGGACAGCTAATAGAAGCTGTGATTTTTTGTGCTGTCCAAGTCCAAAGCATAGAAAGCTTTAATGAACAGTTTTCTTCCTTGAAAAAACAGTTCCTGCATTTAAGACAAAAAAATTATGAAATCAGCTACCAAACCTAAACTTAAATTCAAGAAATTGTAATCTTTGGCTCTTAACAGCTGATGTATACTCATCATATTCTTAGTATGACCTTTAGTTTCCCTTTTTACCCTCTATAGTTGTTAGGGAAAATTAAACACTATCAAAGTTAGTTTGGAATTGTCGAGCTTGAGACCTGGAACCAGAAGCTTTCTTCTATTCCTTTTCAGTGTTTTTATGGTGATATAGCATCTTAGCTTGATCTTGGTCTGTGTCGACAATTATTCTGTGTTAATAGATGCAATTAACTTCTTGTTTTGGCAATTAAAGTGGTAGGCCTAGTCATTGTTGTACATGCCATGGCTGGTATCATCTTCTTGCACTGCAAATAGTTGTGTTGAGTCATTGATTATCCTGATCTGCTGGTCGAAAGGCTTGCTTTGGTGCCTGATACAAATTTCTGTTCAAACTAGTGATCTCTGTTACCCAATACAAATTTTCCATGTCCCACCTTGGATGGTTTTCACTTTCAAACACAGCTGTCATTTTTGCTTCTGACTGGACAAAAAATGTAGCCGAAACATAGTTTTGTAAGAAACAGATAAGCAGAACAAGCTTTTAGTCAGGAAGTCATATCCTTTTCTGAACTGTATTCTGGCAATCCATGCTTTCTTTTCCTAGTATCTTCTCAAATCATTGGCCTGACAATTCAAACGATGAAGTTACTCCATTTTGTTAGAAACAATCAAGTTTTTATATGCATAAACTCAATTTGACCAGGAATAAGTGATGAGAGTAAAGGGAAAAAAATCATAAGAAAATTACTGGATGCTCTTTTTCATAACAAAGATTTTACCACTACCTTTTCTAAAGATAAAATTAAATCAATTAATCAAGTCCACATAATAATTTAAGAATGGCATTCACATAACTTTCAAGTTGTTAAAAGTTTCTTTGTGTTGCCCACATGTTTTTGTTCAGTGAAGGTCTATTCTATATGGATATCAATCGTATAGCAATAGCAATAGAGCTTGCAAAAAGCCATTTGCTTTTGTCTGTGTGGGAGTCCAGAAGCAGAAAAACAAAGGATGATACGGGATTAAAGTTAAGAAAATAATAAAGGAAATATTTAAATCTCTCTCGCCATAGTCAAATCTATAGTTATTAGGGGCAATGAAATAGTATCCTTTGGAATTGTCGAGCTTTATACCTGGAACTGGAAGCTTTGTTCTTTTTTTTTCTTTCTCTGTAGTGATGTAGTAGCTAGTACAGGAATAAAGCATCTTAGCTTGAGCTTGGTCTGTAAAGATTTTTCTGTGTTAGCAGATGTAACTTCTAGTTTTGGCAGTTAAAGTAGTAGGCATAGTCATTTTTGTACATGCCATGGCTTGTATCAGATTCCTGCAATGCAAATAGTTGAGTTGAATCATTGATTTCGTTAATGTAATTCTTGGTTGTTAATGTAATTCCTGGTCTGGTAGTCGGAAAGTCCTACTGGAGGTTGAGAGGAGAGTATGTGTGACCTGTCACAGAATAGAAAGTCAGGGGTGCCGAACATGTTATTTTGAGGCATGCTTCGACGCACAAGTTAAGATAGTAAGATACACCAGAAGCAAGAAAATGTAAAAGAGCAGGAAGTAGTTAAAGAGAGTAAAGAGGGTTGAGTAGTCAATCACCTAACTCGTCTGATTTTACTTTTTATACCTCTTGGGTAATAATGTGGCAAACTGGGCTTTCATGTGTAAAACCTATTATGTGATTGCTGACATGACCACTTAGATATAATAATACTGAAGAGCTTAAAAAATAATAAGATTTTCCTTAAGAAAATTTTTTGGATAAATGATTTTTATTAATCCAAAAAAAGCAGTAGACCTGCTACAAATAAACAGTAGGCTATCAAGACCTTACAAACGTCAAAGAGCAACCTAATAAAGTAAACTAATTAAACTAAGCAACATAGAGGAACCAGTCCCCAATTCAGACACATTTTTCTTTTGCTAAACCAGAAATTATTGATAAAAACAGAGTTACACAATAGGGTGAACAACAGGGGAACCCAATAACTCAGCAGTAAAACACCACCCCATAGACAGAACAGAAGACAAGCACAATACAACCAGACATACCGCCAATCATCTTAGGCGAGCAGAAGAGAATGAACTGATACACAAGTACAGTAACACCAAGCCAAAAACATTCAGACACAATTTCTGTTGTTGAAGAGGAAGAGTGGAACTCGAGACTGCAATCTTGTTATTGAACTAAGCTAAAAGGAACTTCTGATAGTTGAAACAATAGCTTCTATATCTTTGGATGGCCTGCCAAACCCTTTGATTGTGCTCCTGCCAAATAAAATATATATGAGCATCCCAAGCCAATCTAATTAATTACAATAGATGCCAGAGCTTTGCTTTACTCTTAAGATGGTTGACAGCCCAATCTAACTCAAAGTACCAGTGACCCCCAAGTCTTATACAAATTAATTACTTGGAAGCTAATTTTCATTTGTAAAATGAGGTTAGGAAATTCAAAAGACATCCTAGTTTGCAGGCAATTTTTGTTCTTAGTTTGAAAAGCATTGCCAAGTTTCAAAAAGGGAAAGAGGCATCAAAAGTTGAAACGTTCTTGAATTAAATTTTAAACACAATCACTTTAGTAAATTATTATTTAGTGCAGATAAAAGACAATATAAGAGAGAATTTAAATAATTTTATTTGTTTAAGCTACAGTTCACAGAGTCAACAGCAAAACTTTTGAGTTATTAAGTATTATAGAATACTTACCAAATGACATTGAAACTTGAATTTTGATGGAGTCACCTAGAAGATCTTCTCCATTTTTTATTCCGACTCTGTGTAAACCTATCCAACCATTTGTTCCCCAACTCATTCAACACTGTATATCCAATACATAATCCAATGACCAATCCACATCCATAACCCATCAACACAATTTTCCAATCAGACAAACCATCTACCCATGAATCTCCATCTTCCTTAGGGGGTGGCATTCCAGGACCATCTTCATTGCATTTCCTTGTCAGAGGCAGCCCACATAATCTTGGATTCCCTTCGTAAGAATCGTTTGAAAATGTACCAAATTGGTAGCTTTGTGGTATGCTTCCCTCAAGTTGGTTGTAAGAGAGATTCAATACTGCAAGAAAAGTTAGGCTTGTAAGCTGAAGAGGAATCTTTCCGGAGAGTTTGTTCTGGGAGAGGTCCAACGACTCAAGCTCAGTTAAGTTTCCAAGTGCTAAAGGAATTGGGCCAAGGAAGCTGTTGTAGGACAAGTTTAGCACTTTGAGTGACTTGAGCTTTTGTATTTCTTCCGGTATTCTCCCATGGAAACTATTATTGGAAAGGTCAAGACAAGCAAAGATGGTTAAGATTTTCTTGTAAAAAAGTTCAAACCCTTTATTCACAATTGTCACAGAGTCCTGGTAGTAATTATCTCCAATATAATCTGGCTTAGCTTGGTCGCCAACAATCATCATCCTCATTGCCTTCAAAGATTGAAAAAATTCAACAGGTAACTCACCTGAAAAGTTATTGGAAGCAAGGTCCAGTATGTGTAACTCTAGGAAAGCATTTTCATACTCAGAAATTTTAATCGGACCATAAAATCTATTTGCTCTTAGTATAAGAACCTTTAAAGAAAGCAATTTCTCCAACCAAAAAGGAAATGTGTCTTGTATCATATTTTTTCCAACGTCCAAAACTTCGAGCTTTGTGCAATGGGCTAATGACCTCGGCAACTTCCCTTCCAGTTTATTCCCATCAATTTTGAGTGACCTTAGTTGAGGGGCTTGAAAGAATTCAATTGGTAATTGACCAGAAAAATTATTGAAAGCAATGTCTAGTACATCCAAGTCTTGAAAATAATTTTTCACATGTTTAATTGGACCATAAAACCTATTTGCTTGCAATACAAGGACCATCAAAGTAGGCAATTTTCCCAACCACAAAGGGAATGTGTCGTACAGAGCATTGTTTCCAAGGTTTAAAACTCGAAGGATTGTGCAATTGGCTAATGACCTTGGCAACTTCCCTTCCAATTTATTGTCATTGAGTTGTAGCCAATATAAATGGGTTGCTTTTGCAAAATCTGGTATGCTGCCGCTGAAATTATTTTTTTGTAGATCCAAAGAGCTGAGAGAACTGATATTGCCCAAGCAACTTGGGATTGGCCCGCTTAATTTGTTAAAGGATGCATTAAAGGTCACAAGTTGACTCAAATTGCAAATAGGTCTTGATAAAGAGCCTTGTGAAGAAGTTAGAGATTGGTTTAGTGAAAATTGGTCCAAAGAAGAGAGAGAATTGTTAGAAAGATCCAGATACCGCAAACTTTTCTTCCACACCCAGTTTGGTACTGCACCACTTATTTTGTTATTTGAAAGGTCAAGATCTTTTAAACTAGTTTGACTCTTTAAAAACTCTGGAAACATACTTAGGTTACAGAATCGTAAACGCAAGTAACTCAACATTGGAAAAGAGGAGTTTGCATCACCAAAAGGAACATCTGTTGGAAAATCAATCGTATTGAAAGAAAGGTCTAAACTCAAAAGAGTGGTCTTGCACAACCAATTAGGCACAAAACCATGGATTTGGTTGTCAGGAAGATATAGAAAAGCCAACTTGTCTTGTGTTTTGATGAATTCTGGAAATTCAGTAAGGTTGCATGAGTGTAGATACAGCATCTCTAATTGGGGAAAAGCAAGGCTTGTGATGTTGCCTTCAATTGATAAATTTATATTGGAAAGGTGAAGACGCCTTAAGTTCTTGAGTTGGAAGAACACGTCGAGCTTTACGGAACTAAAGCTATTGAAGCCTAAATACAATACTTCAATCAATGAAGAAGATGCATTGGGGATCTCACGAATTTCACCAACCAATTGATTCTCTTCAAGAAGCAATGTATGCAATGATGGGAGAGTAAATAACGAAGAATGTATTGATCCAGAGAGGTGGTTCCCCCACAAATAAAGATATCCAAGATTTGGAACTCCAGATCTATGAAATGGAGGGATTAAACCACTGAAATTATTATATCCTAAATTCAGTTCCACAAGGTTTGTGAGATTTGCAATTGATGATGGAATTTGTCCAAAGAAATTGCTATACCAAAGATTTAAATTTGTCAAGAACTTGAGATTACCAATTGATTCTGGTAGTTTTCCACTGAAATTTGTAAATGAAATCGTTAAGATCCGTAAAGCATTGTTTGATGGAAATTCTGGCAACTGACCTCCAAGAGCGTAATTATTTGAAATGTCAATGCTTTCTATTTTTGGCAACTTGAGAATTTCTGTTGGAAAATGCCCACTTAAATTGCAATTCACTAAACTGAGAGAAACCAAACGAGAGGAAATTTCCAACAAATTGGGAGGTAAATAAGAGATCGTGTTCCAATCAAGGACAAGTTTGGAAAGAAAAGGAAGTCTTGAGAGTGAAGAACAAAATGGACCTGTCAACCCACAATTCGACAGACTTAACACATGCAAGTTAGGAAGTATTGTGGATGTGATCTCACACCATTTACTACTTTGAGTTGAAATGTTCACACCATCCAAGTAGAGCTCTGTAAGAGGTCTCAAATTTTGGATTAATGACTTGAAGTTTGGGTTTTTTAGTTTCAGAGGTTGTTGAAGGTAGTCAGGAAAATCAACGTACCAGTCAAGAATTTGGTAATTGTGTAGATAGCAAGAATCTTGATGAGATAGATCAAGAAAGACTAACCTTGTTAAGTACGAAATCTCCACTGGAATTTGGCCATGGAAACATGAGTTTGAAAGGTTGAGATGAGTTAAATTTGGGAATTTATCAAACTCATATTGAAACAGAGTAGTATTAAAATTGTTTCCAGCAAGATTAAGGCGTTGAAGATGATGGAGATTGAGAATGGAGTGAAAGCTGCCAGAAAGGTTTTTGTAACTGAGATCAAGTTCAATCACATGACCCAAAGCATCACATGTAATTCCTTTCCAAGAGCAACAGTCAGTGTTGGGATCCCAAAGCTCAACTTTGGAAGAGAAAGTAAAATTTGGGGCATAGTAAAGATCATGGTGCAATTGTAGCAGAGCAGATTTCTGGTGATGAAGGCATTGGTTTTGGAGATCAGGAGGGGAAAAAGATAACACAAGAGATATAGAGCATGAGAAGAGAAACAAGGTAGGAAAAATGAGTGAAATTAGGATATGAAGATTCTTCATTTTTTGTTGGCTCTCTATAAAGAAAAAATGAAGGGAAAACTATGGAGTTTGAGATTTGCTTACACGTTATTTATAGACAAGTACTTCATATTAGGTACTGTTATTGTAGCTACATATCTCCCTTGATCTCAAGAGATAAGTTCAAATGCGTTTTTCCAACCACGTGTTTGTACAAATCACGAGTTTGAGCTATTTTTATAAGAGTTAAATCAAAATAGGTGGAAGACAGACATATTTATTGCTTGTCCATTTTGAATTTTAAGGAATGAATAATGGGTCAATGGTGATAAGGCTTATAGTTTTGCTTTTGTAAATTAATCTTTATCACTATATCTTTTCTTTTCTTTCACTTTTTATTTCATATTATGCATTCGTACAAATAACAATTAAATAAAAAATTAATTTTCTCAAAAGAACGAAAATTTTCACTAAGTTTTACTCATCTATCAACTTGTCTGAAAGAGTAATTTTACAAAGATTTATCAATCAAATCAATTCTATTATTAAGGACAAAGGAAGATGCAAGGCTATGGGTGAGTTGTTCATGAACACCTCCAAACATGGAAGGAGAAGAAATTTCGAAAGAGAATTTTTCAACATCTCTAATTTTTTAATTTTTTTCATCCATGGAATTAATAAATACAATTATATAATAAACACAGTAAACTCAAAAACGATTGAACCTCCAATGTTTTTGGCAACACAATTACAGATTTGCAAGAAAAAAAAATCAAAGTTTTAAAAAATGCTGACTGCTTTTTTTTTTATGAGTAGACAATTTTCAATAAAATAAAATCATGTAATATGAATAATATATTATTTTAATTTTTATATTTAATTTTTTATATATATTAAATGAATATTTTTTAAAAAAATTTGATTTCACCACTGATTATGAAGTTATACGAAATTCTTTTTTTGAAAATTCTAAGTTATTTCTTTTTCTTAATGGAAAAGCTTGAACCTCCTTTTGGTATCCTTTATCAACTTCCTCATATATATCAATATTTTTATCTATATAAGCATTAAAAGAAAAAGGGGTATGATCGTTTGGTGCATTTTTAATTTGTTGCAATCCCACCTAACATCTTGTAATATGGCAGCACATATGTTGTAATTAAGAACATTGCCTACCTAACCTGAAAATCTAGAGCAAAAGTATGAATGAAACGAAACGAGGGCAAAAGATGAAAGCAAGGAGGAAACATCCAGCCAACAGAGTGCAAGTGCTGAAACTGAGTTTCCATGTATTCAGTTCCCTGTTCTATTGATGTCAAGTCAGAGATTAATGGATGCTTTTGGTTTTTATTTTTTTAATAAATGAATTGAAAATTTAAAAAAATAGTAAAGGAAAAAAAATACAAACCAAACGAAATCTAAATTATATTTTTCAGTTTAGGGTTTTTATTTTTTTTAATAAATGAATTGAAAGCAAAAAATAAATAGTAAAGGAAAAAAAATCCAAACCAAATGAAATCTATATTATAATTAATCATCTTAAATAATTAGCAATTAATCACTTGATGGAATCTTATCTATAAGAATTGAGAAAGTACAATGAAAGAGTCAAGATGTTGATGGTAGTATTCAATCAGATACTTAAATTTTTAATTATTAAAAAATAATAGGATCTAAATTTTTGATTATTTGAAAATAATAGGATGAAAGAAAAACTTTAGGATTTGAAAATTATCTTTTTTTTTTTCAAAGTCCTTGAATCAATTGAAAGGTTAGAGAAAAAATTTGTGTTCTTCAATTTTTTTTTTCAAAATTTTCAACAAAGTAAAACATGTTTTTCAATTTGTTGATTAGGCAACTTGTTTCCCGTGCTTTTGTTTGTAATATACTATTAGATTTAATGGCAATTGTTTTATTTATATTAAATTTTTTATTTTTTAACATATTAAAATATATAACAATCCTCCGACTTCATAAATTTCACATAATGTATAGATATATATATATATATACATATATATTTATATATATTATTAGTAGAGTTTTAAAGTTTCATAAACGGTGTTAATCTATTATCACATGTTTTATTTTTTTTTATAATTTTTAATATATAATATATGTTGTTTATTACTTGAAAACTTATCTTGATATATAATCACGCACATCTTTCAAAGATGGATTATTGAAAATTTTCTCCTTAAATTCTTGTTTTCTTGCCGTTTATTTTCATTTGTATGGACACAATGTTTAAACTAATAAACAAAATATTTTCTATGTAAAGAAAATTAACAAAAAAAAAAAAAAACTAAATAACTACCACTTGACAATCCGCACATTTATTTTGACATTTCCAATGATCCGACGACCTTACCACTTCCAAATTAAATTAAATTTTTACTACCTCATATAACTTGAGCATTTAATAAATGAAATTTGTTCTAATTGTAAAAACTAAGTTAGATATAATGCTGAATTGAACGAGTCTTAAATATCATTGTTGCTGCAGGCATATGCATTAGTATTTATGCATGTGAGCTTTTTTTTTTTGTGTTATTAATTTTTACAGAGTTTAAGAAAAAAATTTTGATTTTAATATTTTTAAGATTAAAATTCAATTTTTTATAAGATTAAAGTTTCATGATTTTTAATGTCAAAAAGTAAAAAAAAAATCATAAAAAATAATTTTAAAATATAAAAAAGTAAGAGTTTGAGTTATTCCAATAAAGAAAGATGATATAATTTTGAGATATCTAAAACAAAAAAAAAAAAAAAACAAGAGACTGTGGGAATACTATATTTAGACATTACCATTAGAATCATTAATAAGTTCTCTATAGTAAATGATGATAAAACTTTATTATAAATCAAATTATAAATAAAATAATAAACTTAAAAAGAGTTACATATATGTCGAACTTTGGATAGTTATAAATCACGAAGTAAAAGTTTTAAAAAAATCAGCATAATTGTTAAAGTAAAATATGTATTGTAATGTGAGAATCTAATATCGAGTGTCATATCATATCGTAAATATTATAAATAGTTTTTATAATTTTTAAAATTAATTATGAATAATATATATATAAATCAAATAAAAGTTTTTAAAAAATACTCTACATATTAATGGGATTAAGTGATTAATGGACATAAATATAAAATATGATTATTTTTCAAACTTTCATCACATTCTATTTTCAAAAAAATATATATTTGATATGTTGTTAATTTATAAATATTATATGCTATATGTGAATTACAAAAGAAAATTCTAAATACATTCCCATTTTATCTCTCCACACCCTTTTTATTTCAAAATTATTTTAAATGAAATTATTTAATTACTCTTTCTCTTTTCTATTCACACTTCTTCTACTTTTAAGCTTTTGGATTTACAAAATTCAAAACTTTTAAGAGTTTTCATAGTTGTAAATCTAGAAGCTCTTAAAAGCCTCTAGATTTGCATATCCAAAAGCTTTTAAAAATTTCCGGATTTGCATATCTAGAAGCTTAAAATTTTCTATAAGATATTTTTTCTTAACTATTTTTTTTTAGAACCTAAATGTAACTTCTTCTTTTTTTAACTTATTGGATATTAAAATCCAGTAAGTTATAAAATTAAAACAAGATGGATAAATAAGTAATTTCACTTAAAAAGTAAAAAAAAAAAATGGATCTAGAGAAAAAATGATGGTGCATTTAGAATCACCCATCACAAAATTATACTTTATAAAAAAAATTGATATTTTAATTTTGGACTCAGAAAGAAAATAATAGTATGAGTTTTTTTATTGGCATTTAGTCTTTTATTTGTTTTACATTTTTAAGTCTTCCCATCTTGCAAATGTCTAAGTCTTCTTGTCCCATCATTACTCTATCAAAAAAAAAAAAAAAAAAATTTTAACAATTTGCTTAAGTTGAGTCTATTTTTGTAAAAAGATAAAAAAATAACAATTTTCTCGATGGAGGTTTTCTTTTCTTTTCTAGTTAAATTGGCATATTGAGAATGGATCTTAAGTATATTTATATTTATATTTGTATTATTATTATTATTATTATTATTATTATTATTATTATTATTATTATTATTATTATATTTTAGTCTTTCTAATGACTTAGACTAAAGCAACTGCTAAAATTATTATTTTTGTGAAGTAAAGATAGGGGTAAAAAGACTAACATTTGCATGCTTAATGCCAAGATAAGTATAAAGCAAAGACTAAGACTTAGACCAATACATCCCTATAGTATCTATTATTTCTTTCTTATTCCACCATTATAAATCCTAATTTCCAAAATAGATAAGTTTGAGAAGTGAGAATGAATATGTTCTTTAGATTTTTTTTTTCAAAACTTTCAACAAAAATAAAACCACAGGTTTTTATTTTGTTGATTTTTTTTTTACCAATCAATTTGTTGATTAAGCAACTTGTTTCTCATGCTATTGTTCCTAATATACTATTAGATCCATGGTGTGCTCTTTTTTTTTGTTTTTTGTTTTGGTTTTTATTGTTAATATATTTTTAAAAGATCCTGATGATTTAGAAATTCAATGAAACCAATAACCATGCAGTATGTGTAGTAAAATGCTAAACTCTTAGTTTTAGTTAGTTAAAATTTCAAATCTTGACAACCTCAACAAGCCAAAAAAAAAAAAAAAAAAAAAGAAGGACAATCTTCTAATTTCACAAATTTTATATCTACAAGATAACTTATATATATATATATATATATATATATATATATAAAACAATTTCTTCACGTATGATTAATACATGATTTAAATTTTATAAATGGTATTAGATTCTCATACTTTTTATACGTAAGATATTTTCTCTTAACTATTTTCTTTTTCAAACCTAATTGTAACTTTTTTAACATATCGAATATGAAAATTTGGTAAGTTATATAACTTATAAAAAATGTATATCTAGAAGCTTTAAAATTAAAATGAGATGGATAAATAAGTGATTTTACTTAAAAAATTTTAAAAAAAAGTGTATGTAGAGAAAAAAAAAATGGTGTACTTAGAATCACCTATCACAAAATTATACTTTATAAAAAAATTTGATATTCTAATTTTGGACCCATAAAGAAAATGATAGTATGAGATTTTTTTTATTTGGTATTTATTTCTTTTCTTTGCTTTATACTTTTAAGGTCTTCTCATCATGGCAAATGTCTAAGTCTTCTCGCCGCCATCATTACTCTTGTGAAAAATAATCTTCTTAGCAGTTTGCTTAAGTCAAGTCTATCTTTTAAAAAAGACAAAAAAAACATAGCAATTTTCTTAATGGATGTTGTCTTTTGTCTTTTAGTTAAATTAACAAACTGAGAAATGGATTTTAAGTATAGTAATTATTATTGTTATATTTTAGTATTTTTAATTACTTAGACTGTAGCAACTACTAAGATTATTATTTTGTGAAGTAAAGATGGGGCAAAAAGACTGACACATTTGCATGCTGATGGCAAACTAAGTATAAAGTGAAAACTAAGACTTAGACCAATACCATTCCCATAGTATCTATAGATTTCTTTCTTATTCCACCGTTATAATGTCACAATCTCCAAAGTAGACAAGTTTGAGAAGTGAGAATGAAATGTGTTCTTAGATTTTTCTTTTCAAACTTTTCAACAAAAATAAAACATAGGCTTTTAATTTGTTGATTTCTATTTTTTTTTGCCAATCAATTTGTTGATTAAGCAACTTGTTTCTAATGCTTTTGTTCCTAATGTACTATTAGATTTCATAGTATGTACATTTTTTTTATTCTTAATATATTTTAAATAGATCCTCTGATTTAAAATTTTAATAAGCCAATAACCATGCAGTATGTTAGTAAAAAACTAAACTCTTTAGTTTCAGTAGTTTAAAGTTCAAATTCTCACAACTTCACATAAAAAAAAAAAAAAAAAAACAATCTTTGGATTTCACAATTTTCATGTATATTTTGATTTCTTCACATATGATTTATAGAGGATTTAAACTTATAAATAGTATTAGAATCTTATGCTCTTTATCAAATATTTTCTGTCAACTATCTTTTTCCAAACCTAAATGTAACTTGTTTTAAGCTTCCGAATATGAAAACCCATATGTTCTATAACTTATCATAAATGCATATCTAGAAGTTTTAAAATTAAAATGAGATGGATAAATAGGTAATTTCACTTAAAAATT